CCTAATGTGTTTTACTTCCCAAAAAAAAATAAAAAATAAAAAATAAAAAAATCAATCAATCAATCAAAGGACAGGTTCCACCAGCAAGGAGGATTGGATCAAGTGTCGGACCCTGGACGTTCTGTCTGCACAGATGAAGAAAAGAAGATCACTAGCTACTTTCTGCACCTCTCAACGAACACCTCCGGGTTCCACCGTTTTTGCTAGTGGAACCTCGCCCCAGGAAGGAAAAACTTTAGACAAGTCATAATTAAACACATGTTTTCTTCTTGTTCTTCTTCTTCTTTTCTTCTTCTTCTTTCTTCTTCTTCTTCTTCTTCTTTCTTCTTTAAACACATGTCTTTCTTCTCTTTAAAAAAAAGAATGGTTTTGTAGACCTGTCGGAACGCTCCCACCCCACTACCCCTCCGCCGAGGCCGAGTGATGCGTTCATCGATGGCAGTCAGAGGACTACCGTCTTCGTCCGAATAAAAGGCCCACTCATTGTCGCTGCATCCGGTCTGAAAGTGGGCCCAAATACAGCCATAATGACCGAGGGTTCTATTCGCGTGAAGACTGTAATCCTCTACCATGTAGCGGTCGCGATGTGGGGTGGAAGTTAAGTCTCACTCAACTGATCTTCCAGATCTGACGAGTCAGCTGTGTCCGAGTAGATGCAGCAAAGTGTGCGACCTACCGTAGTACAGAACAGATCCTCTTCGAGTACATACTCTACAGAGTCGTAAACACATATTTTTCTGGAAGATGAGTTGCGTGAGACTTAACTTCAACAGGATCTGAATTTGAGTTGCGTGAGACTTAATTTGAGTAAATTCCAGATTTGAAGTATACTTGAAACGACAGAGGAAATCAATGCAAAAATTTACTCAATAGAATCAATAGCACACACATTTTTCTGGGACAACAACAAGTTTTACTGCAACTGATTACAGTTGCTGGCCCCCACCTAAAGAAATGGCCGAGAGGGGGGGGGGGAGGGGGGGGAGGGTTCGAGCCTCGAGGAGAGAAAAGATGTTTTTTTCCAAAATACTCACTTGCAGCTGAATCTTTTCATGGATGGACATATACCCCGCCTAAACTATTAAAGTAATAATTATTTACCTAAACTTTTTTATTTGTTAACGTCAAATTTCTGTTGTTTATCGTTTGCCCACTAGTAGTATTTAAATTAGTAATCTCTCTAAAGATTGTATTTGCAGGGATAGAGGGCCTCGCTGCACTACTCTCGAAATGTGCAAAACGAGAGTGAATCTTCCGCTAGAATATGGAAAGATACACGGCCATGATTTTTGTCTTTGTGCATTTCAAGAGTAGTGCAGCGAGGCCCAGAGTGGAGCACTGAGCCTGTGTCTCCACACCACTACGCCCCACATGCACAAGAGACAAAAAAATATGCCTTTGTATCTTCCCATGTTCTAGCGGAAGATTCATTCTCATTTTGCACATTTTTGGTGAGTAGTGGAGACTCGGGATAGGGCCCCATTGCCATCCCATTTGCACGGACTACTATCTAATCGATGCTGAACTTCATCGAATTTCGGAGAATTTCGGACTGATAATGGCCGTCGAACCTTAGTTACCTCACCAATCAAGTGATAATAATAAAGGCCGGCGATCGTTTTTTTTTTTTTTTTTTTTTTACATAACACACACCCCTGCAGTGCTAGTGTTGCTGACTGGGCCAAGCACCTCTAGCACCCGGGGGGAGGCTCCGTCTATCTTTATCTATTCAGACGTAATATTAAGAGTGAATACTAGTAATAATTGGTCGTCGATCTTGATCGATTCAGAAGTAATATTGAGAGTTAATACTTCAATAATAATGGCCGTCGATCGTTATGCATCCAGAAATAATAAGTAATACTGGTAATAATGGCCGTCGATCTTTGTACATTAACAGAGAGTAATCAGCGTCGATCTTTATCGAGCGCGAGATAATATTGGCCGTCGATCTTGATCTATTGCGAGATAATATTACTAAAAGACAATAGTACAGTAATAATGGCCGTAGATTATTAAAAAAAAAAAAAAAAAAAAAAACAATAATAATAATAATGGCCGTAGATCTTAATCTATAGGGAGATAATATTGAGAGAGAATTATAATGGGCGTCGATTTTGATCTCTTGAGAGATTATACTGAGAGAGAATCATAATGGCCGTCGATCTTGATCTACTGGGAGATAATACTGGGAGAGAATGATAATGGCCGTCGATCTTGATCCACTGGGAGATAATATTGAGAGAGAATCATTATGGCCGTCGATCTTTATGCATTAACAGATATCACTAGTAATACAATAATTTCCGTACATCTTTCTCCACCCACTAATCGTGTGAGAGAACAAAATAATGGCCGTCGATCTTTATGCATTGCGAGACAGAGTAATTGCCTTCGATCTTTACAGATGAACAGAAATTGGCCGTCCATATTTCAATTCAGGTGGCCGTGGAGGGAGAGCGTGGTAGTAAAGCAGTTTTTTTGCTTCCTTTTTTTTTGGTTGTCTGTGTGGTCCACATAGGTTTTCGTCTGATGTTTGTGGTGCACCGCGGTGTGTGACCTGTCTCTTATACACATCTAGATGTGTATAAGCACACACACACACACACACAAACTCTCTCTCTCTCTCTCTCCCTCTCTCTCTCTCTCTCACACACACACACACACACACACACACACACACAAACGTAGACACAAAAACACAGACACAAACACACACATATACTATTAAAAGTGCAAGTGCTTGGAGTTATGGGCCTTGTTGGTACGACCGGGGTTGCATGTTGGTCGGACTGCTCACCAATATGGCCGATGACAGGGTCTTTCGCTGATGCATCAGTGTGTCGTGCGATCTGCATACACGTGTCCTCTCCTCTCATGACCATGATCGCGTGTATGTCTAGCATCCAACCTCTACCCCCCCCCCCCCCCCCCAAAAAAAAAAAAAAAAAAAAAAAAAAAAAAGGACGAGGCTTGTGCGACAGTGCCTCAACCAGGATCTGAACTGTTGAGGTCCCCGGCTTCGAATTTGTCCAACAACAACATACCTTCAAGTTGTTTATCGGAAAAAAAAAAAAAAAAAAAAAGGCAATGCTGGTGTCGGGGATGCCGACACCTGTCACAATGAAAAAGCTGCATTTTTCCTTTTCTTTATTTTAAATTATTTTTCTTTTACAAGAAAAAGCTCTGCTTGGATTGTCATTGAGCTAATTCTTTGTGTTTTTTTTTTTCCCTCGGGCGCCACGGGGGACTAATTCTTTATTATCTTGAAAGAATGAGACCATTGCGGGAAAAAAAAAAAAGAAAAAAAAAAAAGAGCAAGACCTCTGACTGTCGGCTCTGTGAGAGGTACTCTTTTTTTTTTTTTTTTTTTTTTCCTTTTTTTCCCCTTTCTTTTTGTGAGTACTGGCGACTGAAGTTTATTCCATGTATTTAACTGGCCCCTTGAGGGCAGGCTCGAATTAGGACTACTACTAAGCTCTGGACGTGATTACGGTCAGATTCATCCCGCTCTGGCGGTAATTGCGGTCAGATACATTTTGCACATTTTTGCCATAATGCCCGACACCACATGCACAAAAGATAAAACATTATGGCAGTTCTCATTTTGCAGATTTGGTGAGTAGAGGAGCGAGGCCCTATACGTCCTGGGGCGAGGTCCCAGAAGCAAAGAGTATTGGATTAAGCTCCTGAATCTGGACGTGTTTTAAGCAGAGATGCAGAAAAGAGTAGTTCAATCTCGATTTTCTGCACCTTTCCACAAAAGTCTAGATCCAGGCGTTCAGTCCAATCCACTTTGCTAGTGGGACCTCTGTTCTGAGGGCAACGCGACGACACGTGGCGACGGGGATCGGGTGAACACGTGGCTATGTAAACATCGTAGCTGGAGATCGGGGGGTTT